ACTCCACATATCCAGTCTCCATAAGTGCTTGTATATCACAATATTTGTAAAGGGCTCCACACCCACTTCTTGTGCATTATTTCTATATTCAAAGACCATGGAAACACATTCTTAGGGGTTTTATGTGAGAAACGCTCTTCGATTCCCCCATTCATCGTGCTGATTTTTTACAGCTGACGAGGCATCTTCGGTGCCTCTGCGTAAACCAAGCCTCAACAAATAGATTAAACTGAAAAATAAAAAATGACAGTAAAATGGTATTTGATTGAGAATTAAACTGAGTATTTTCCATTCTTGTCACCTGTAACAATCCAGGAAGTTGCTAAAAACCCACTGGTCCTCGTGCGGTCTGACAGACAGACCCGACCTCCAAGTAAGACCTTACTGCAGCGGATTTACAAGCATTCCTTGAAAACCTTTACAGGGGCCGAAGGAGCAAAACACCGCCTCAGAATGTTTCTACAAAATCATGGCCAAACCTCTGCCAACTGGTCTCAGTCACACGGGCATGGTGGTCATACGTTCAACAGGAACAGTCGGTGCAGCGTCTTCTGTAAAAGCAACACCTGACTAAATGCACCGTTGACAGACCGACAGCAAACCCAAATACACCGACTGACTGCCAGTACATTACAGAGCTTGCATTACAGAGCTAAATCCGTAAAAACACTGGGAGCCTGGAAAGTAGGTTTTCTATTGAGGAAAACGTTTGTAGCTCAGGTAGGATAGACGGTCGTTGTCCTGTGTGCTTAGCATAGCAATTTGATTGCAAACGTGTTCCCGTTGCACGCACGTGCAAAAGACCAACATCTCAAACGTGACACTCAAGGAGGTCTGAGTATCGGATTCACAAACAAAGAAACAAGGAACTCCATGGAATCAGATCGATAAAGGCTACACGCTGGGACTGGGAAAAACAAATGCCACTCCAATATCAACCAAATTATGACGGCGAGGAATACCAAGCTCAATGGTCACATGAGTATCGGCAAATGGGGACACGGGATAACAGAGCAACCCATGGAACCGTCCAACCGAACAACTAGTCGCGATTAAAGGTCATCGCCGGCTAGCAGCATGTATAATAACAAACGTAATACCACTCAACGCACAACCACTGATCCACCGCTACGCACCAATATGCTCCCTACTAACGCTCTGATGATGTTACCTCGATTGGTGACGAAACGTTTTCAATCAAATTGCCCAGCCTAGATATGATTTGTAAATGAGGGCCAAAAGGAAATCGCCCCCACAGCCTTGCGCATCACAGGAATCGCAGAAGATTCATCTATATGCACTAAAAAACCTTAGTCCAGTAGAAAAGCATGGATGGGTTCTATTAATTGGTCGCAAAATGTAGACCACTCGTGCAAAAAAGAGTTGGAAATTCACGCAAATAATTGACTGTTTGACTCAGTGCTCACTGCATGCTCAGTGCTCACTAAATCACAAGATTCGTCTTTTCTACACTCACGAACCACGTCACACAAAGACGACTCATCTGACATTGACTGTCTGTACCGTCTAGTAAGCGTAGCATCAGTTCATGTGCTGGCAAACCCACGTTCAGGCAATCGTAACTACGTGCAGGAAAACCGAACACATTCAACGCACAGACTCGCGGGCGCAGGGAGCAGGAAGCCAACCACACTCAATAAGTCCACGGACTGTTACGGAACATATGTAGCAGCCATACTGCGGAGAGGACACGTTCTTTCCGCTCGCACATTCACTGAGGAACTCTCACAAACGCTAAGTTCCCCTTTTGACTTGCTCCACATTTCGCATTGCATTTATTTTTAAACGTGTTGCAACTCACCACTGTCAACCATATTGCATATACCCTCTGAATTACATTATGAATGCCATAACATATGCACTAATTCATTTATTTCGATGTGTTCCTTTCACTCATTGTTACAAATCCAAATACTGATGTATAGGATTGAGGCTATCGTCCTGTACCCTGATTTTGGGTTTGCTTTTCACTTAGTTGCTCCTGTGCTCCTGGAAGGCGCAACTGAGAAAATGATTTTGCACCGCTGTTAAGATTGTTATCGCATCCTTAGACTATTTTAAATATTTTCCTCTATTCGGCGTGAAAAACTGTCTGGGGATGGTAGTTTTATTCACCGATAGGCTGAGGTGCGACAACTTGTAGGTAAACAAATTTTACTCTCAGAGCTCGAAATTCTCCTCATTCTCGCCATTCATTATTTAGGTGAACGTTGAAAATACCGTCCGCCAAACATTGTTCAATCAGGGCATGAGAAAGCATTGACCCCCCAGAGGTGAAAATATTTCAGGGAGAAAGTGCAAGCGCCTCGAAGTACACTTCACAAGCAAGGCCTGCAACCATCCTTACAGCAGCTCGTCAGATACGCTCAGTGTGGGTTAGGTCCATCTTGAGTCCTGAGAAAACAACTCGGTTGGCGCGTTCAACAACTGGTCTGACATGGACTCCACGTGGTCCCTTAAAGCCCATAGGAATTATCTAGAGGACGTTTCGCCGAATCCTCCATAGAACGACAGCGCGTTTTGAGCCGATTTTTCATGGCCGAGTGAAAGAAAAGGTTTAAGAATAGAAAGATGCCTGGATTTCTTTAGTATCTGTCTTCATGATGTTTCATGGTTCATTCTCACCAGCACATCGGATGTTTTCAGTTCGTTCGGCTGTCGGTTGACCTTTTTAAGAAGAGTGCTGCATACGGATCGTGAATTCTCTGTCTATCTCTCTCAATTCAGTTGGTCCAGATGCAAGCTGGACTGGGGAAATACGCATTCCTGAGGATTCCGTATGACTGGCGTTTCGAAACCACGCCTGAAGTTCCGCGTACCTGGTTCAGTAAGAGATGAGACCGAAAGCAAGCATATAGTGCTCATTATGCCCCTATTGAGCCATAATCAAAACTGACTACAAAGTATCTCTCGTAGGTGGTAAAAGAATCCAGTAGGTATGGTATTTCGTCTGCGCGGTATCTGGTGGGTGCAACGGCGTGTTGAGTCTGAAGGATCGGTTGAATGGATTCGGACAGCGCCAGTGCGGTGACCAGTAGACCCGGTGCGCTAGAGTCCCAACCAGCTCTTGGAAATGTTGAAATCACAAGACAGTGAGAGATACGTGAAGCTAGGGCTGGAAGAGACTTTTATGAGGAACTTTCCATCCTCTTGAGGGCTCGAGGAACAACGGTAGGCCACGCAGACAGGAGAATCGATCCCATGTAGCGGGATTTGAATCCACAGTACGTCACAAAAAGGTTCAGGAATGTTGTCGGATAAAACAATCGGAATGGGCAGGGCCGCATGTAAACAGAGAGCAACCCCGCCTGCTCTCTTGCGTTTCGAGTCAGCTCGGAAAATGGAGTAGCCGCATATCAGGGTCCCCATTTAAGCTAAGTCTGGTGTAAGCCAAGTTTCGGTAGGAACGTAGTCTCAAGACAAGCCGAGTGTTGAATATCAAAAGCTTTGCTAAAACGACTGCGGCATTTTTCGTGCTAGCATGCCAAAACTAATTCTGCTTCATATAAAGTTGTGGAGCAGGGAATTGTTGTGCAAGTAGATGGATTAGCAAATTCAGCAGTTCCGATCCGGGTTTGGTTTCAAAGTACCAGAGAGCCTGTGCGCCATATCTTTGTGCTTTCTGCTTGGTTCTTCCCAAGCCAGCTTCCTGTTTGTGAGTGAGGGTTTTGACCCGTGGGATTCCCGTTTTCCGCGAAAGATACTTTGGGGGCCGCAATTTTCAATACCGTGGTCAACATTTTCGAAGGTTGTTGTTTGTAGCTCGTGCAATACCAGACCTTAGAGGCTCGCATTTGATTCGTCGAAGATATGCAGTGACTATACATGTGTTTGATTCTTTGGGCGCGATTTGTTTGTCAATGTGTCTCGGTGAGGCCCTGTCGGGTCACTCGGGAGTTGGGCGGGGCAACTAGGGAGCATTTCTTCTGATGGTACCGTGGCCATTCTCTTTGTAGCGGGCTAGGACCGATCCAGATGCAGTAACCGGCTGTGAAAGAAATAATCACTCGTGGAAATTTCCCGCGATTGGTTCACGTGTGAGTGGTAAATTTCACGATAGGAAAGTTATTCACGGCTTGAAATGTGACGTTCTACAGTTCACACAGAGATCTAGTCCCACTGGTTCAGCAGTCAGCAAACAGTTCAACGGAGCGTAAATTCACTGATTCAGCAAGAAGTCAGAAAGCCGCGCCAAACAATTATGTATTGGCACCATTAAATCAAACGTCAAGTTGCGATATGTACGAGAGTTACACAATGTATTTCAAGTTCTGGAAAAATGGTAAGTAAATGTGACAATGGATTACGGACACTACATCTTCCTGGCTAGTCAGAAGACCGTTATATATTCAGCTACTCCCAAACAGATGCTGATTACACACCACGTTAATGAGCCTAAAGTTTCGATATGGTTTCATAAAGGATTCGTTCGGTTTATTTTAAATCTAGCCCACTAGGCAACAGTCTACTCTCGCTCCCACTGTTCTCATCAGGATTCTTGTCTGCTTTAACGAACAAAGGATGAAAAAGGAAAAAAACGTAAGCCACTTGGGTCAGGGCGAGCAAAAATGGATATATTTGAACGAAAAGGAAGTAATGAGAGTTATTCAACTGGTCTGCTCTGATCCCACGATTGTCGGTCTCGCCGGAGCTGTAGTAATTACAGGTGATTCAGGTGAGTTCCAACAGAACCTCCCGTTTACAGCTACCTAATGGACAGGTGCGCGAATTTCTCACCGCTCCTCAACTGCTTTGTAGGTAAAAAAAATTTTCTGGGATACCTATATCACCAAAAGAATGACCAGAGAACGCATCCTTACCAACCAGTTATCTTAAATATTGGTCACCCATAACAGGTCACTGAAAAGCCGTCACCTTACCCCTCCTGCGGAATGCCCAAGGCTTGTTTATTCTGGCTAAGTCGAGCTCGCGCGCCAATCCTAGGTGACCTTGAGGACGTGTACACACATTTTACAAGGATGTGGTGCCACTTAACCACGAGGGTTTTGTGGCTGTTCTTGACTCTCATGGACTGGGGCGTCTGTCTGCGGATGCTGATCCCTCCTGGTGGGAAGCGCTGTTTAAGGCACGAATCTCACCCAGGGGAGATAACTAACGGAAACTACGATGCTTCGGAGCCTGACACACATCAGCTTGATATTCTGATACAAGACGCTGAAGGTCATATGCTTTATATGCGAGAAAATATTGCTAAAGGAACGTTTGCCTTCTCAACTGAAAACTTCCAACTGTTCGAAGTTTGTGTTAGGTCGAGGCCAAGTAGGTGCAACCGTCATCCGCTAATTATTCGTACCTCAGTGCCTGGCGCAACAAACCTTGCCGAACGTGAATTTTTCCTTGAAATAAAGCAAGGTGCTGAGGCCAAAAACTTTGACCTTGTAAGCTCCCGTCTACTTTCTAGCTCTGTTTAGCTGGCCAAAGCTGAAAAGTTGAAGCCGATGGAACTGGAACTGAAAAGGCTAGAAGCGTTGACCGATGAAATTGTTCGTGACTTCACAACGATGCACACTAAAAGCAGTGCGATGCGGAGTACAAATGGTAAGTTTCATTCATTCACCCGATCCTCAACACAGCATGCCTTGAAGACAGACTATAAGCAGTGTTATAAAGTTCGATGTAGTTGAACGAACTCACATGTTGTGTACGGTATCGAAATCTCATCCAATAACCTGGGATCGGCCTTATTGTCGTTTAGCGGATCCTGCTCAACTGGAAGGCGTGAGTGGAATATTCATCAGGGAATTCGATTAATTCGAAGTGCATGGCGTGCCAACAAATAGCACTGGGGTTTAGACGACCAGCGATGATATGCTACAATAGAAAAGAGAATTTTATCAGAGAACATAATCGCAGTTGGAATGTTCATTTCGAGGCAGTCTCTTTTTGCAGTCAGCAACCAGAAGACGAATCGCGGATACGTGTTCATCGGTTTGATCAAAGTTCGGAGAATCAGTCTACCTGGGTGTGCAAATGATTGGAACTTCCGGGAAGTTGTTTGGTTCAAAGGATTCAGTTATATAGGTGACTGAGAGTCCAAAGGTGTCTAACAGAACTAGTAGCAGGCCGAGATGGGGGCGAGATGACTCAGAGGTTAGAGCGCGAATTTACTGACCGAAAGGTCTGGTTCGAACCCGACATCTGCGTCTTGACTTCTCTTGTGTAGGCTTGGGCAACCCAGCAGTATCCCGGCCATCGTGCCTTCGGGTGGCATGGCAGTTAGACACCGAAAGGGTGCTACAGCTGAACGGTCGTGCGTATATACCACGGAAGGTTAAATGACTCATTAGTCTTGCATTTCCCACTCAAGCGGAGGAACACACCTCCAATTATGTCGCATGTTCAGTGTGATACACAACACAACTTTGCGTTCACTCCCCGGAATCACTTCGGTAATCCTCTCCCTGCATAGGTTCTCAATCAGCCCATCCAATTTACCAGCTATAAACCGTTTTTCATGGGTACATAGATTCCAGCTGCTACAGTTTCGATCACCGGGAAGTGTTGGACATACAGTCAAGCCTTGAGGGCATGTTTAGTTAATTCAGGAATCTAGTAGCTTGAGGGTAATAGTTTTGATGCATGAACGCTGCTGACTGAGCGATTGGACCATTTCTGCCAGTTTCATTAACCTTTTATGAGTTGAGTCCCTGGGCCCCCATCCAGGGAGGCGACAGCTGTCGACCCGACTAAGTTCACTGGTTAATGTTTTCATGATTCGTTGCCAGGTCATACACTGTCTACCTGTTGATCGCTTCCACTTTGTACAGGACTGGGCGAAAAGAGCCGTGCGAGGCAGACGGTCTTCTAGCATGCTGAGTGCGTGCCCCAAACAGCGTAACGCATGAAGCGTGAGTAATTTTATCGCAGGAGGTTCTCTTTTTCCTGGGACCATCTGGCGTACCTCAGTATCACCGATCCGATGCTCCCACCAGATCCCACGAATGCTTCAGAGACACCGACCGTCAAACACTGACAAATTTCTTATGTTCTGTGCGCATAGAGGCCACGTTTATCGTCCAGCTGTAGCACTCTTTCGGTGCCCAACTGCCATGCCACTCGAAGGTTGCACGAGGGCTGGAATACTGCCAGGTTGCCCAAACCTAGACAGGGAAAGTCGAGAGGCAGAGGTCGAATTCGAACCACGGACCTTTCGGTCAGTGAATTCGCGATCTAACCACTTGGGCCATCTCGCCCCCGAGGCCGTGTTTATGATCCATATGGACTGCACTGTCGCGGTGTAAACTACCCTTGACACATAAAATGATGTCAAGTCGGTGCCGTAGGTAGCGGTAGTTGTCAAAAGCTGTCCTGGTCTTCCGATTCGAAAAGTAATCTCATCTTCATCCAACCTAGCGGAACGCACACAGCTATCCAAACAAACAAGTCTATCCACCCATCATAAGTTTACCGGGTACAAATACAATATTGATGATGGTTAAACTCTGATCCCGTAATACTTTTTCTAGTGGTCGATGAACGCAGAGCTGGACGAATGACGTCAAAAGAGGTGAAATTCCCCACTTTTCAGCGGTTTGCTACGTACTGACGTTAGGCCAACCAGATAGTAATATTTAGGTCGTGTTTCTCATCTATTTCATGCAGTGATTTCACAGGCTGTCCATTCATCGGTCATCAGAAAAGGTCGCGTGCATGAATTCGTGGATGAAATAAACATGCCTTTGTCGCGCTGCTTTGGCTCTTCAGTATCTTCGGAGTGAATAACCAATCGACAAAGCTTTTGATACACGCCAACATCGCTTGTACCTAGGATCCTTACTTCACACACACCAGTACATAATGGGTTACTAGTAGGTAAGATGTATTCCGGCCCACCTCGGCCATGCTGCTTCCGGGGGCAGCCTTAATTAGAGGACTGCCATGAGCCTTTTTCTGGAGCGCACATAAATTCATCATCATCATCGACAGCATGACATCAGTGTTCAACACCGATGCTTCACTGCCGTACAACCATGACTTGTTTGAAAGCCTTATTGTAGAGAAAAGAATAAAGGTGGATAGGAAGGGACTAAGTGCTAGCTCAACACAATTATTCCGAGGTGCCTACACCCCCAGACATTCACTCGGGCAATCTGGATAGAAACTGACGACAAGAACGCCACTGACATCGGTTGGCAGCCATATCTTGTAGTGTCTCCAACCAGGCACAGTGAGGATCACGCGGTCCCCATCCTGGAAGGCGAGTAGCACCGACAGCACCCAAGCGTCTCGTGATCTCCTTCATACTCCTCTGCCA